TGCTGATGAAGTAGATTTGTTAATATCTACTCGAAAATATTATTTACAAAGGGTGTAAAAAAATAGAGTAATTTTCTTGCAAGCACTTGATTCACCTTATCGAATCAACATTTGTTTTCAAATAGACCTGACGTGTGAAGTAGGAAAGTTTATACGTTCAAAATTCAGAGTGTCCATCGCTCAGAGAAATGCCGGAAAACATGGGGAATTAAGTGTGGAAAAGTGAAGCGAAACATTTCTTCCTTTGTTCTGAAATTAATCAACCTGAACCAGCCATTTTTGGTAGGAGTCTTGTTTCCAGTCCTGTTGCGGGCAAAATGCCTTGGAAATGATCGGAAACGCGGAAGTGAGAGTGAAAATGAAATTTTGTATGAAGTGGAAGCAACGCGCGGCAGATGTGTACAGAGGGTTTAGTGTACATCAAAAATTCATGTCCACGCGAGGGCAGCATTTTAATGAAGACGCAGGCTTCCGCCGCCGGAGTCATTACAATATTCTATTGTACTTCAATGATCAAATGTGTAGTCACGAAAATATCCTCACAGGAATGAAGCTGTTTTTACGGATGTTTGAAATGCAAAGGTGAAAAGCATCTTTAATATTCTTTCTTCTTTTGTGCGTTAGTAGTGTTATGTCAAAAATTGGTAATAAATGACTTCAACTTTGAATTGCTTCCTCAACTGAATCCTTGATTTCAGTGCTTTATGTATGAGAAAGGATTACAAAGCCATTAGAACCTGTTTGAAGGGAAACATTTTCATAAATGCGTTTTCACAAATTTAAAATATTATGTTATGACATTTATAGCACTTCAATACCTGCTTGTCAAAATCGTAGTTAAATCAAGTCTTGAGATATCTGCCAAAATTATTTTGACGATAACGTGCTGTAATTTCACATTCAAAAGGGTTCTTAGTTATTGCATTTCCAATTCCGAGTGAATTACGTTGTGTAAAGTACATATATATATTCTATATGAATAAAATATGTGATTTGGAGGTGAACACATTTGTCATTTTACGAACACTATCCATTCACTGTAAATTTTGTTATCAAGTTGCATATTTCCATTTTGGCCACTAAGGCACTTCTTCTGAGTTTGTAATGGTATAATATCCAATGTGTCATTTCTTGAATTTACATTAAAAAAAGTAGGAAATTAAACTAAGAATTGAACGTTGAAAAGGTTTCTAACGGTAATAACACACGTTAAATACATATTTACAAAAACGTATTGGGAATTACGTAATTTAGGCACCAATTTTTGCATGATTATGATAATAATGGCAGATGAAATATACTTAACAATAACAGTAATTTGTCAGCTCGAAAATTTGAAATGGATAAAATGACAGCTGAATAATCCGTTCAAGAGATGCGTTGCCGACTTCGACGTAAGTTGTTTGTGTATGTGTATACGTGCTCCTGGACATACATTATCGGTGTAAACAAATTAAAATTATGAAATTTGTACCCCCTCCGAATTGCAAGAGAGATTACAGTATCAAAATGGGTGGAAAATGATATTAGACATGTGCTAGTCGATTATAGGAGCCTTGAATATTAATATTATTCAGTTCATAGTATTATTACTACTGCGATTATTATTATTATTATTATTATTATTATTATTATTATTATTATTAATCTTCTAATTCACGAGAGTTAGTTGGACGGATGTTATAAGAGAATACACTGGGTTGCAACCAGCTTCTTGAGGAGCAGATCTACAGACTGTCGGTGTCTGTACAATACTTGTACTTTGCGCAAAATGTGGTCTATTCACAATAAAGCAATATCTTGCACTTTCCAGTCTACTGAATGACCTAGAAATTAAGCTACGTTCTTACACAAATTTTGCTTACACAAATCCCAGAACTCCGATGTCTCTCAGGACGACCTTTGCTTGGGCGATTTCCAAGCCCACTATTTATTTATTAATATTATTATTATTGTAATAAAATAATGTTTTCGCCCCGTGACACTTGTCGGGTGGCAGCTGGTGCGAAGGGCCTTTGATCTGCGTGAGCCCCATTTGTGCCTCCGAACGCCCGCTCTGCGGCTGGCCGCACTGACTGAAATACAGCGCCTCGCCGCGTTTATTATTATTTTTACCGCCGCCGCCGTCTTTTTTTTTTTTTT